GATCGGGGAGAGGTGCAGACGCATGCTCCGAGGAGCAAGATCTCCCTCCCAGGGCCAGGCGTAGGCGCCCACGAGGGCCGTGTGTGTCGCGGGGAGGGTGAAAGGGGTCCCCAGGGGATGGGATGGGGACAGAGCGGGAGAGGGCAGAGGCAGGAGGAACAAAAGGCCCTTGTGCCGGGCGGCCAGCTGGGGAGAGGCAGCAACACGGGCAGGAGAGGATTTCCAGGGGCTGCGATGGGGTCAATGCTCGAGGAGTCCTCAAGCGTCGCCAGCTGACACCACCGAGGCCAGGGCAGGCGTCACGCCCCAAATCTGCCCCCCGAAAAAAGCCTGCTGAGGCACAGGCAGTAAGTAGGGTAGCCAGCAGCGGGGTCACGAGGGGGGCCGAGCCCTCCCGCGCGCTCCCGGAGCCGGATTTCACGCACCGAGACACAAAGGGGCCCTTTTGAGCTGGAGCCGCTTACCCTGAGCGCTAAGCAGAGGGCGACACGAAAGGACCCGCGGGGATGGGGACCGGCAGAGCAGGCAGGGAGCCTGACAGCTTCTCCTTCCAGCTCACATGGACTGCAACTGGGTCGTGCCTCGTACCCCAGAGGCTGACGCACGGGGGCTTTCGTTATGGGAAGAGAGCCAGCAGGCAACCAGGAAATTTCCAAAAAGCCCCCAGTCAGCAGCTCCCCCTCCCCAGAGGACCTATTTTCAGGTCATACTGCCCAGTCACACACCAAGGATTGGAATGCACCAAAGCATCGTTCTCCAAAGTTTTATGACAACCCTACACAAAAGGGGTGCTTCCACAGGCTGCCAAATCTGGCCCCCTGAAGCAACCCCATCTCCCTGCTCTCGGCAGGACAGGGGGCTGCAGGGGAGCCCCTCGACCCTCCCCAGGACAGAAGCACCACGTCCTGTTGTGTAGGGATGGGGATGACCCACTTGGCGTGAAGAGTTCATTTTTTATTATTATTATAATGATAATGATGATAAAAGTGGAGAAGCCAAAGCAGCCAGATGTGGGGCCAGTTCAGCTGTGCTTTCCATGGGAGAGAATAAATAAGCTGCAGCAAGCGCGGGCCCAGGGGGGAGCAGATTCCCAATGGAGACACATCCTGACGCGTTCACGCCCAAGGCCAGCCAGTTTCAGGACAGGGCAGGGAGCTGCAGGGACTACGGTGGTGACTGGGCAGCCAGATAATCCTCCAAAAAATGAGAGCTCAGCTGGCTGTGAGGGGATGCGTAGTCCAATGTTATCCTGGCTGGGATGCACTGGCTGCACCATCCCATGACCATGCCCACCTTAGGGATAACCAGCACCACCTTGGATCCAGGCGCTGGAGATCTCCTGCGGAGCTGTGGCAGGAGGGACAGCTTGAAGCCTCCTTGCTCTGCAGCAGCCGAGGGACGGCAGTGGGCAGGGAGCCACCAGCTGCTTTGAGGGAGGAGCTCAGTTCATCCCCCCAAAAATAACCAGGAGGCACCCAAAACTGGGTCAACCCACAAGGGCCACACCAGAGCTCAGCGGAGCCCTATGGTGGTGCCTTGTTTGCATAACGAGGAGCAGATGGCAAGCTAACAAGGGCGGACCGGCCTCTGTGCTGCACCTCCCAGGATGCCCCACTGCCCCATCTCCGAGCCGCCAGCCCAGCACAGTGCAGTTACTGGGAGGGGGTTGCACACCCCCTCCAGCACCATCCTTCTTCCCTTTCCATACAACACTTCAAGCACACTCAAAATCGAGTCCTTGGCACACACAGGTTAAAAGGCGACTATGGGTGCAGTGTCAAACGTGCCTTTCCAGCACATGTCTGAGCACTCCCATTGCAATTATACACACAGCTTTCTGTCCACCCAAAAAATGGCAAAGGCAACCCTGGGAAAACAACGACCACCCAATAAAAAGATTGTCAAGCAAGGACAGGTAGTTTCCAGGAAAAAGCCAAGCATTAGAAAGCAAGCCTCGCTTCTCTTGTGCAAATATCCCCCGGACATCCCCGCTGCAGTGTGCTCACAGCTCATGTCCCGGTGTCACTTCCCCATCCACAGCACCCTCAGACCTCAGGGTGCAAGGCCGGGTCCCTGACGCACCAGCTCAGCGGCGCAGAGGAAGTGGCTCACCGCCAGCCCCAGCAGCGTGAGAAGTCATCCCCGCATTGCTCACCCGGGCAGCAGCAGGAATTCCCCAAGCGCCCCAATCCCATGACTGCTGGCACAGAAGACAGCGAGCACGTGGGGCCGAAGGCTTTCCAAGCCTGGCCTCTCCGCATAACTTGGGGCCAGCCAAAGATAACCGCCTGCCTAGTAACCCTGCAGGGACAAGCTGAGAGGGGGCTGCCATGGGCTTTGCTGCTGCGATGCACTCAGCATCCCAGAGGTCCTGTATCTCCATTCCCCCCAGTGCCTCCCCATCCCAGCTCGCAGCCCCTGTCCCACAGCCAGTTTTGCAAATCTGACATTGCTTGCAATATCCTTCCACCCCCCCAAAATTAGGGTCTCGCTGCAGCTGTGTCGGCAGCAGGTGCTGCCCAGCACCCCAGCCTCGCAGTGGCAACTGTTGGCGGCAGGGCCGGGGAGAGGCTGCAGGGCAGCCAGAGGCTCGCGTGGCTTTTTTGGGGGGACAAAGGGAGGCTCTGTCTGCACACAACAGCCTGGACAAATGCTGGGCATGGGAGCTGCCATCCAAGGAAAATCCAGACGCGGCAGTGACTCTGCCCTGACCTTACCCTGGCCCAGATGGCGAGATCGGTGCCCCCTCAGATGAGCAGCATCCATTACAGGGCTCCTGGGGATGGGGAGGGGAGCACCCAGCTGTCGGCACAGCCCTCCCTCCCCAAAGATGATGCCAGGGGGTGCCGGCAAGGGCAGGGGGGACTGGCAGGAGGGCAGAGAAGCCACCAGGCTGCGCCAAGCCTAACACAGGTGCTTGCCAAGGGGATGGTGGGAAACGCCAAAGACTTAAAAGCAGAGGGATTGCGACCGCTGCTGAGGGATGCACCCCTCCTGCACTCTGCCTGGGGGAGCCACTTTGGTCACACTCTGCTGTACCCCTGCTGGGCATCCCATCCCCTGGTTGGGGACATGTCGGCACCACTTGGGGACAGGTCAGCAGCCCCCCTCTCACACTCCCCAGGCAGGGGGGAGCCCTCCCCTCCCTCCGGCCCCGCTGCAGCCAGGCAGCAGGATCAGGTAGCTGCTGAGGCAGCGCTTTGCCAGGCCAGCCAGGCAGGGGCTGCCGCAGAAAGGCTGGGCTGCCCACCGCAAGGTCACAGCAGGGGACGAGGGAAGGACCTGGTGGCACATGGCTCGGAGCCTACAACATGTTCCCATGCTGCCATCGGAGAGCTCTGCAACCCCAGGGGTTTTGGGGGCTCCAGGCAGGACAACCCTACAAAACCTGCCCGGCATCCCAGTGCTGGGACAGGACCAAGACCCACCTCTTTGTTCCCCCTGGAGCTCCTGCTCCATGTCCTCATGCCCCGCAGGGCCAGAGAGCCAGACCAGCTCTTTGGGGCACCGAGTTTAGAAATCAGCAAAAAGAAAGCTGGGGAAAGCCCTGCAGGAGAGGAGGATGCTCAAACCACACCTGGGCTCCAAGTCCTGGCCTCAGCCATGACTCTGTAGCATGCAGTCCGCACCCCAGCCAGGCACCCACCCTAGATAGCCGCTTGCAAGTGGCTCTGAAGCTGCAAAGACCAGAGAAAAACTGAAAAAAGGAGGGAGAGGAAAAAACAAATCTGCCGTGTAAAAAGCAACTGCCAGCCCCTCTACATAAATAAGGAACTAGAGGTGTAACACTGTCCCCGTGGCTTTGTGAACCCTCCTCCCACACACTCCTTCCTTCCCATCCCCATTTAAAACCTCCCATCTGGAGCCCAGAGGCAGGAGAAGCTGCCAGCAACACGACACCAGTCCCTCCAGATCCCTCATCGATCCGGAAGGGAGGACGAGCTGCCTCCGTCAGCTCCCCGCAGCCCCGCTCAGCCCTGGCGCCACCGTGTCCCCCCCGAGGACCGCAGAAAGCCAAGCAGAGGATGTGGGGTTGGAGAGGACCACCAGCATCCTGCCCCCCACCCTAACACATGCTGCCATGTCCCCCCTGCCCCTAAACATGTTGCTAATAGGCAGGGCTGCAGGCAGGTGAGGGGTCCAGGGGAAACACGGGCAGGGTGAACAGAACATATGGGGACTATTGCCCGCAACGGCACCCTGCTCCTGATTCCTGCCAGGGAAGCCACCCTGCCTCCTCCAGGGCACTCTGATCAGCACAGATCAGGAGAAGCAGCAAAAATGCAGGGTGCTGTGCCCAGGACGGGGTGCTGGAGCACCTCGCAAGCCACAGAGCAATGGGCTGGACCCCCCAGCCAAGCCCTGGTCCTCCTGCCCCTGGCAGGGACCATACCAGGACCTTCGCACTGCCTTTCCCTGGCTGAGGATGCAGTTAATGCAAGCTGTGTTTATACAGGGCATGTACAGCTGTAATTATAGGCACGATGTTATGATAACAGGAAATCCGTGCCCTGTGGAGATGCAGGCAGAGAAAGGCATGCACGGAGCTATTTGCTAATTGCCACCAACAAGCAGCCTTTTGTGCCGTGGTGGGGTAAGGGAAGAGAAGTCTCCCGCACGGCGGGCTGGAGCCATCAGCACCCACCTCTGCCCATCCTGCCCAGGTCAATCGCAAAGCCATACGGACCCAGACAGCCAGAGCCCGCTCCATGGCAGCTACAGGGCAAACCCACCTGCCCTGAGACACAAGGGGACGGGCTCTGATCCACCAGCAGCCAGGACTCAACTTCCCTAGTTTATAAACCTTCCAAAAGACAGAGGTTTTGAAAATTTGGTTGGCAGAGGGGAGCAAGGGGAAATTGCCCCTCACTGGCCCTTTGCACGTTACCCCCAATATATCAAGTCATGCTATGATGGAGGCACAGCCCTACCTGTACCCCAAAGAGCCAGCGAGGCGAGCAGTCATCCCTCCCCATCAGCATCACCAAGGGCTTTCCTACCTTTTTGATCTTCCCGCTTCGTGTGCCTGCAAAGACAACGGTTTGTCCTCTGTAGTCGTAGGCAGCCACTGAGGTCATCCCATCCTCCTTATCCACAAAGAGCGGGGTGCCCTCGATGGTGACGGTCCCACCCAGCGGCTGGTTAAAATCCTGGCCGCAGAAATTGTCGTCGATCTGCAGCGGCTGTCGGAAGAAAACAGAGGAGAGATGAGTTTTTTGCCAATGCCTTGACATGCCGGACCTCCCAGATGGCCATCAGCCCCATTGGCTACAGCAGCTTCGGCAGCCCCATCCCTTGCCCATCCTGTCCCAGCCATCCCACCTTACCAGCCGAGGGAAGGGATGAGCTGATGCTTCCCTAAAATTCCCTACATGCTGATGTAAGGCACTTGGGACACATCCAAGGCATGCAGCCCCTCTCTGCATCTGAACAAGCTTTGCAGACCAAGACCAAGGCTCTCGGTCCTCTGCATCTTACAGAGCAGCACTTACAAACCCAGCGGGAGCCAGCGCAGCATCCCTGCTCCCCCTCCATCCCCACCGCTGCCATCTCAGACACGTGGGATGTCGGCACAAGCTCCCCAGCACACACACACCCCTCTCCTCCTCACCCCGGCGCTAGCTTCAAAAAGAAAACAGGTTGGCAGTAAGGCAGGAGGGGCTGAATCCTGCACCCCAGCCTTCCCCCAGAGACAAAACACTTCCCAGCCAAGGCCATGCCAAGACAAACAGGTCAGGGCTCTTGAAAGAGCCTCACTTCACATAGCAGAGCCTCCAGCAAACACGCTACCCACCTGCCAGCCCTGTTCCTCCTCCCGCAGGAACGTCTTCGGGAAATCCCCACATTTTTTTCCATGCTGCCATGCCCCAGACAAGGCGCCTGGCTCAGCCAGCTGCCTCCTCAGTTCAGCACTTGCCCGCGGGCCTGGGAGAAGCTTTTGCAAGCTCTGCCCGGGGAGAGGCAGAGGCAGGACTGCACCAACTCCCCTCCGCCCTTGGGGCTGCGACAGCAGGGAACTCCGGCGAAGGCGCTCGCGCCGATAGGCAAGGAAAAGCCAGAGGGATGCCCCCCGTGAAAGCTGGGATGCAGGCAGGGGAGCAGGACCAGGACCATCTCTGCAGCACTCACCCCCTCCATTGAGCATCCTCGCCATGTCGCCCTGACCTGCTGAGCAGAACAGACCCTGGCCACAGGTATCCGGCCTGGGGGGCACATGGGCCTCCCGGAGGTCCCATGCTAGGCAATGGCCTCACGAGGTCACACAGCACCAGCAAAATCCACCCCCAGCAGCCCTCGGCCTGTCCCAGGTAGCGAGGGGCTCTGGCCAAATCCCCAAGGGTGGCAGTGAGCCTGTGTGCAGGAGGTTAGGGCGGCAAGGCAGGCACAGCCGACGGGGAGACAGCCTGCTCTGGCCACGGGATTTTTCCACTTCACAAGGTTCCTTATGTAACTTTGAATTTAAAGGGGAGAGAGGCTTTTTGGCAAGCAGCAGCCTCCAAATGCATGCCAGTCCCCAAGGGGTTTTAAATCCATACAGCATGTGCACAGAGCACATGGGAAAACGCCGAGCTCCCGAGCTCCACATAAGCAAGGGCAGTACGTAGCTCCACGATTCCCACTCACCACTGCCTGGGGAGCAAGGGTTCAGCCCAGACCGGCTCCCACCAGCCACCCACAGTCACCCACGGGGAGGAGGGAAAACACGGCACTTTTCCATGCCCTGGCACCATGCACTCGCAGCCACAACAGCTTCAGCCTCCCGCAGGCACGGCGAGGCTGCTCGCCCTCCTTGCCGTGCTGCCACGCCGGCCCCAAGGCCAGTGGTCCTGCGCCCAGCTGCAGTGGGGTCTCAGCGCCGTGCCGGCC